GCCTGTCCATATAATCTCTCATTTTAATTTGATCACGTTTACATGACAGGTGGGGTGACCTGCCACGTGTTACCTCACTTATCTGAGGTCCCCCACCTCCATGTAAACAGGCCGTTAGGGAGGGGCCCCGCGTGGGACCTTTGAGGCCCATTACTGTACATCCCATTGCCTAATAACATGAACAGATCAAACTAATTTGCACTAGTACAAGACAATTGTGGTGAGGTGAAACCTTGGAAATAAACACCAACGCGGTCGACTGGGCTCATATAAAAAACCACTTAATTACACTTGTTGTACATCAAAATAGGGACTTTAAAGCAACATCTACGAAAGGCTCTTGTACGGTGACCGGAAGTATTTTTTTTCCCGCCACGCGTCAATGCCTCAAGTTCAAAGCACCAGGACGGCTATAGCGGTCAAAACGTCGCTTTTAAAATTAAACTTATTGACTGGCCGTACTGCGCTTTCTGAATACGTAGAAGATCATGGCGGGCCGTAGTGTCTACTACGTTAAGTATTTAGTTCCATTTTACGAACTTAGGACGCCAGTGTATATTTGAAACAGAATCGCAAGATATACGCATTTTATCCTTTTTTGGTCATCCTAGGAAATTTCTGAATCGACGGTTCATTTTTCGATCATGAGCCTCAAATTTCGGTGTCAAGCACGACACCCATTAAGTGAAAAATACAGCCAAATATATACGCAAAATACAGTTGACGGGAAACAGGATTTCATAACGGATATCATCCCTCCACGTGGTGTGAACAAGACTGATAAAACGCAAGGAAGCCCTGAATTTGCCTATGAATCGCCCTTTATGAATGTTCTTTTTTTGTTACATTTCCTTGCCGTTGGCGCTCACTGCACGGCTTCAACCGTTCGCAAACATTTGACAAAGTAAGCGATTTGGAATAATCACGATAAAGAATAAAAAAACTCGAATACACTTTTAAGCGACGTTTTCACCGCTATAGCCGTCGTAGTATTTCAAACTAAATTGACGGATGGCGAAAATAGATTACTTCCGGTCACCGTACTAGAACCGTCCGTAGTCTTTGCTTAAAGTCCCTAATATTTGCTAATGATCGGACCAGTTGAGGTTGCCTCGTAAATTTTCTGAGAATATCACAAGAAGCAAAACTTTTGATTACACAGTATTGTATCTTTATAATATCAATGACACTTGCCTTCTATTAAACAAAGTGAAAAAAAAAACAACAACAAAAGATGGCATATTTATCGTCTGCGGTCATAATAATCAAAACAAGAAAAAATTCTCAGTAATTAATTCACCGAGTAAAATACTCAGTACTTGGCATTTGTTTTTCACGACCAAATACAAACCTTTAGAGCGGTTTTCACTTGACTGTCGAAAGTAATTGAGGAATTGGTTTGGTTTTGGTTTTACTACGCCCTTTGGTTGGCTAGTGTATTTACTTTGGTTTTGGTTTTACGACAGTCAAGTGAAAACCGCTCTAATACTGAACATCCCATTCATTCGGCTTTTTCGATAAAGGATGCCATCAGTTTGGCATGTTTCATGGAGGCGTTCAGGGACAGCAAACATATATTTCTGTTACTCATCAGTGACTGGGTAAGCACAAATAAAATATAAATATTGCCAATTCTTTTTATAGAAATCATGCTTCAGCACGTTTTATTGATAAATTGCCGCATTGACTGAAATGTTTTTCTCTCATACTCTCTCGTCAACGATCATGCTAAATATGATCAAGACAGACTTTTAATCCGCTGACAAATTTTACACATGGGCAGCCAACGACTATTTCCTGTAAAATATCTGTTCGGAGAAGCAATTATTGGCTATAATTTTCTATTGCTTGAGGACGGCTAAAAATGTCTAGATGACCGTTCCATTCATGTACAATTTTCGAAACTTATCTCATAAATTCCCTGCGATTTTCTGAAGCTTCATTTTTCACATTTCACTTTGTTTTTTTGTAGAAAAGGAAACCTAAAATTTTCGGATTTAAAACTGTGATTGAGATAGGAATCAGAAAAATTCTCAGTTTCGTAAAGCGATAAATAGCATCGAAAATTTTCGCGAAAATTATACTGAAACCCTTGAAATTTCGAAAAGTCCCCTAGGATAACCGAACAGATACAAATTTTATAGCGCCGCTTATAATGTATTTCTAGAAATCTAAAACTACTCTGGATAGCCTAAAAAGTGTTTTCAACGAATTTAGGAAGAAATCGTCGTTTACAGAACAAACATCGCATTTGAGTTACAACTTCTAAAACCGGACCCGCCTTCATTTTTTAACATAATGAGATAAACTTTACAAGATCCATCAGCTACTAGTACCCCTCAATTCAAGACAACAGCTGCAGTGTATGATGATTTCATACTCACCGGCTCCTCTTAAACGATTCAGCATTCCGTTTAAAATTTATGCATCTCGATTTGTTCGTCTTTTAATATGTCGTCGATAATTCCAAGACAGCACTTCTGGATGTGCTCTACAGATATTATCAAGAGAATCCCATTATGGCTCTTGATATTATTCAAAGGGCAAAGTCTCTAGGGTCGAATCCACAGAATCTACTTGAAAACCCAAAACGTGTGTTTGTTATCAACAGAATTCTTCTAGTAGAGGCAAAGGTTTAGATAAAAATTACCTTACTTAGTATACATAACAAGCTGCTTATATATTAGGCCATAGAAGAGACCCACAACTGTTCAATGGTCACTCTGTGCATTAACGACAACAAGCCTACTGTATTGCGTTTGGGTTGCTTCGATTAAAAACAATTTCCACAGAAGCAACATTCTTTGGAACAGATCAAAACGCTGGGAAACTGAACCACGATTTATTTTGCGTGTGCTTTGCAGTCCGCAATTTAATGCTTTGGAAGCAGCCGTAGACTATAGACCTCGAAAGTTGATCCACGTAGAGAGAATATTGGCTAAATTAACGGTACGAAAAAATAGAGCTCACCTTCGGCCAGTTTTGATTACCTTCTGTGATACTTCATATGGAGAGATTCCGTTAGCTAGTATTTCATGACGAAAACTCTATTTGGGAGCTAGATTTCATTTTCTGCGCTCAGGAAAGGTTAAACTTTACAATACTGAAATTGCTAGGAAAATAAGGTTGAACGAAGAAAAAGATTATATGTCTACTGGTAATCCCTCGCTGGTCACTCATTCAGCCGGACTTTTAGCAACTCTGCCAGTATTAAAACAGTCTAAAGTTGTAAGAATACTCGTCTGGTCTACAATTTGCCTGAAGGAAAGCTTGAAAGCCTCAAAGCAATAAGGATCCGCGATACATCGCAAATAATAATATACAGGGCCTCTTTTTTAAGTTTTTTTTTATTAGACACTGAAATGGCACTGTTTAAAGCACAATGGCAAATTATACTGTTCACCGGTTTTATAAGTAAAAAAAAAAACTTCGTAAAACACCATAATAAAATCAAATGTTAGGAAAATTAGGGGTTACCTTAGTGAACTGTCTATAACTCCCCATTAAAATTCTGGTGAAAAAAAAAAGAGATAAAACCAGCTCAAGAGCGTGAATTTCGTGAAAAACGAACATTTATTTTAAGTGCATTAATTTGCTTGCCTGGCTTTAATCGAGATTTTTCAAGCAAGGATTTTTTTTATATTTGAAACGTTCAATAATCGTGATCGCACATACCAACATACTTATCTTCCTGTTCGCTGTTATTCTACTAGGTTGTTCAAGGTCAGTAAACGTGGCAGTCGGTCAGCACATGCCATTGTGTTCACACGACAAGAAAAATTTCGTTAAAATTAATTCAAAAAGTGAACTTTTATCCTTCGTCTCTAACTTCACACAAAACAGAACACCACAAGACGTGAGCAGTTGGAGTTCAACGCACGCTTTCCTCAGTTCGTAACTTGTTTTGCGTTTTTCTTGTACCCTCAAGATGAAAGAAGGAAATCTATTTGTTTGGTGTCTACTTTTTCTGTCGATGTCGTCCACCGCTTTCGCTAAGGTAAGATAAATCAGCGCACAGAATTGACTTTTCTTAAACTATGCAAAGAAGAGCGGAGAACGAATCTGATTGAAAAACGTTTTAAGTTGTCGAGTCTGTTAGTCATAAAGGCTTACAAAAAGTAGCGGCGAGATTTTTCCATGCATCAGCGTAAGTGGAAAAGAAAATTTCAGATTTGATATACTTTTGAGATTAGAACTTTTATTTTCTTAAATGTATATTTTTAAAAGAGAGTTTGAAAACACAGTTTGCAAATTATAATTGGCACTCCTGTCTTGGGCTCAAAGAACGATAGGATTTATCACAAAACGCAGATCTATTGTGCTAATGTCACTTCTCCAAGAGAGAACAAGGGAGAATGATGACTCCAAGAATCTATAAAAGGCAGATGATTGGCTGAGCTTCTTCTATACTTAATGTCAATCATTTATTACTGACCTGAACCCACATTTTGCCAAACAAAAAAGGTACAAGTGAATATACTATTATTTTTGAACATTTATGTAACACAGAACTCAAACACGTGCTTGCAAGGATCCCCTGGCCTCCCCGGACGTAACGGAGTAAATGGACACAATGGGTCACCAGGCCGCGACGGCCGAGATGGTGCTAAAGGTGAAAAGGGTGTGGCAGGCGCCCCTGGATCACGTGGTGCGAAGGGAGAAATGGGAGCAAGTGGAACAGACACTGATCACCGGAACTGGAAACAATGCGCGTGGAAGAACAACGACGATCGTGACATTGGACTGATCAAGGCTTGTTAATTTATCTGTGATCAAAGCTATAGTTTAATTAGCATAACAAATACTCGTCATATAAAAATATCATCCCAGCCTGTGCTTCACCTGCCTTTTTAGTTATTGTTGAACGTTGTCCATGCAGTAGTATATCCGCATAGGATAAAATTAGGTTATTTAAACGAAATGTAGGGTGCATAATGCCCTCCTGATAATGACAATTTCTTCCCTGAAAATAATTGTTCAGAACTTATTTGTTGTTGCAGGATTGTCAGTTCACTAAAACCAAGGATGACACTGCTCTTCGTGTTGTTTACCAAGGTAACTTATATTTGGGCAGCTGTGGCAACTGCTGCAAGAGATGGTTCATCACTTTCAATGGAGCCGAGTGCAGTGGTCCCATGCCTATCGACGCGGTGCTGTGGATCCGAAATAAAGACCAAGACAACCACAGAGCCGGGTTCATTGAGGGCTACTGTAACAACATACACAAGGGCAAAATCCGAGTTGGAATCAACATTGGAAACTGTGCAGGATATGGAAACTCCAATGGTTACACAGGCTGGAATTCAGTGTCACGTTTGATCATGGAAGAAGTTCCTCGGTCCCAGTAACAAGTTGAAAAGCGTCACGTGGTTATTAATGACGTATTAAAGGGCTCTAATAACATTTTTATGTAAAGCAGTGCAGCTTTGAAACCACAATAAACTCTGCACGTGACTACTGATGTATGAACATGTCACAAGTTTTTGTATAAGTACCTATTCGGTTTAAGGTTAAGATTAGATATACGCCCTTTCTAACGTTTATTAAATAAATGTCCATCCCCAAGACATTAACTAAAGGTTTTTTTCTAAGTGCCTACAATAAGTGCCCACCCTCAAGGTTTTCCAGTAAGCGTCCACCCTTAATTTTAAGGATATTAAATATATGCCCTTCGTTAAGGATATGTAGTTATTTCCGGATTCCAGAACTGTTCACTTTCAAAAGGAGGCTAAGTGGAAAAACTTTTTTTTAGTGAAATAAGTCTTATTTGCATGAGAATTAAAAATCATTCTCATATGAATAGCTTCGCACTTAGCCTCGCTTTGAAGCAAAGAGCTGGGCGAGTCGGAAATGGTCTATTCACCATTTCAGGTAGACCATAATGCACCTTGTATATACTCCCAAACATTTTGCATAACAATTGTAACAATGTTTTGGGGGACGACTATAATAGGAGTCTAACACCCATTACTCAGGAGAAATTAGAAACAATGGTAATGCTTGTTTTTTGTTTTTTTGTGTGTTTTTTTTAGGGGGGGGGGAAGGAAGGGGGTAAGTGAAAATGGCGAATAAGCTGCCTACCCACCCCGTCCTCGAATTGACTCTCTAGGGACATAACGTTTTCTGTCAGTTTAATTCCATTGCCCTAGTGTACATCTTTCATGGGATTGTGGGCAAACTTAGGGGGGTACCCTGCGTGGCGTGGGACCTTTGAGACCCATTACTGTACATACCATTGCCTAACTACATGAAGAGATCAGATTTGTTTTGCTCTAGTACAAGACAATGGTGGTGCGGTGAAAACTTGGAAATAAACACCAACGCGGTCGACTGGGCTCATACAAATACGACTTAATTACACTTGTTGTACATCAAAATATTTGCTAATGATCGGACCCGTTGAGGTCATTTCGTCAATATTAGTTCTAAGCATATCACACGGCGTAAAACTTTTGATTACACAGTGAATTGTATTTTTATAATATCAATGACACTTGCCTTCTACTAAACAAAGTGAAAAAAATCAAAAGATGGCATATTTATTGTCTCCGGTCATAATAATCAAAACAACACACAGTAATTAATTCACCGACGAAAATACTCAGTCCTTGGTATTTGTTTTTCATGATAGTTGGTAGACCAAAAAAAAACCTTTAGTACTCGACAGACTCAAGCTCCCATTCCCATTCATTCAGTTTTTTTGATAAATTAGTTTCGCATGTTTCATGGAGGCGTTCAGGGACAGCAAACATATATTTCTGTTACTCATCAGTGTCTGGGTAAGCCGACAAATAAAATATAAATGTTGTCAATTCTTTTTATGGAAATCATGCTTCACTACGGTTGATAAATTGCATTGACTGAAATGTTTTTCTCTCATACTTTCCCGTCAACCCCGGGTCATGCTAAATATGATCAAGACAGACTTTTAATCCGGTGACAGATTTCAAAGAGGAAACATCGCATATGAGTTACAACTTCCATAACGGGAGCCGCCTTCATTTTTTAACATAATAAAATAAAATTTACAGCTGTTACAATTACAATCACAATTCCTATAGCGCCAGAATCCATAGGGTTCAATTACAATTTGAAAGATTCATCAGTTACTAGTACCCCTCAATTCAAGAAAACAGCTGGAGTGAATGATGACTTCAAACTCGCCAGCTACTCTTGAACGATTCAGCAGTCCGTTTAAAATTTATGCCCCGATTTGCTCGTCTTTTAATATGCCGTCGATAATTCCAAGACAGCACTTCTGGATTTGCTCAATATCATACAATGGGCAAAGTCTCTAGGGTCGAATCCACTGAATCTACTGGAAAACTCAAAAGGGATGTTTGTTATCAACAGAGTTCTTCTAGTAGAGGCAAAGATTTAGATAAAATTACCATACTTAGTACACCGAAAATTGAAAAGATCTGTTTCAGCCGCAAAGTGTCAATTCAGCCCTGGAGGCCAAAGTCTGATTCAGCCCTTCCTGGAGCCATTTGAGCACAATTTAGGCCAAAAAAGCTCTACCAAAAGGCTATTCCAGCCAAATTAGACTCAAAAATAGGACTGTATTTTTCTCACCGAAACGGCCTTATTTTTAGGGCTAAAACAGATCTTTCTGATTTCGAGTGTATACATAACAAAGTGCTTATATATTAGGATAGTAAAGAGACGTGAACTGTTCAATGGTCATTTTGTGCATTAGCGACAACAGGCCTACCATCTTCTGTTTGTGTTGCTTCGCTTAAACACAATTTCCTCAGAAGCGACATTCTTTTGAACAGATCAAAACGCTGAGAAACAGAATCACGATCATTAGCGTGTACTTTGCAGCCCGCAATTTAATGCTTGGGAAGCAGCCGTAGACCAGAGGCCTCGAAAGTTGATCAACGGAGAGAGAATATTGGATAAATTAACGGTAAGAAAAAATAGAGCTCACCTTCGGCCAGTTTTGATTACTTTCTGTGATACTTTTTATGGAGAGATTCCGTTAGCGAGTCTTGATGAAGAATTTTTTGAGAAACAATGTAACCATTTTATGACGAAAACTCTATTTGGGAGCTAGATTTCACTTGCTGCGCTCGGAAAAGTTTAACTTAACAATACTGAAACTACTGGGAAAATAAGGTTGAAGGAAGAAAAAAAATGTATATCTATCAGATCTATTGGTAAGCCTCCGCCGGTCACTTATTCAGCCGGACTTTTAGCAACTCTGCCAGTATTAAAACTGTCTGAAATTGTATAAATACTCGACTGGTTTACAATTTGCCTGAACGAAAGCTTCAAAGCCTCAAAGCAATAAGGATCCGCGATACATCGCAAATAATAATAAGAAGGGCCTATTTTAATCATTGTTTTATCAGACAGTGAAATAGCGCTGTTTGAAGTGCAATGGCAAATTATACCGTTCATGGCTTTTCTAAGTAAAAAAAAAAACTCCCTAAAACACCATTAAAAATCAAATGTTAGGAAAATTTGGGGTTACCTTAGTGAATTGTCTTAGTCCCTATTCAAATTCAAACGTTCATCGCCAATTTTGGGGGGTGAAAAAGAGACAAAACCTACGCCAAGACCTTGAATTTTATAAAAGTACGAACATTTATTTTAAGTCCATTAGTTTGGTCGCCTGGCTTTAATCGAGATTTGTCAAGCAAAGATTTTTTCATATTTGAAACGTCCAATAATTGTGACCGTACATACTTATCTTCCTGTTCGCTGTTATTGCACTAAGTCGTTCAAGGTCAGTTAACAATCCATTTTGTCAGCGCCTGCCTTTAGTATTCACACAACAAGAAAAATTTCGTTCAAATTAATTCAAAAAGTGAACTTGAGTGAAGTGAATAAAGGGCGTGGCGGGTACCCCTGGATCACGTGGTATGAAAAGAGGAAAGGGACCAAGTGGAACAAGCGCGGATCACAGGAACTTGAAACAATCTGTGTGGAAGAACGCTGATGGCCGTGACATTGGTTTGATCAAGGTTTGCGAATTAATTTATCTGCGATCAAAGCTATAGTTCAGTTGGCATGAACACTCGCCACCTTAAAATATCATCCCGGACTCTGTGCTTGTTTGACGACCAGCCTACTTTTTTAGTTATTGCTAAACGTTGTCCAGTTTTATTTCTTTACGAAATAAAATTAGGTTATTCAAACGGAATATAGGGTACAAATAATGGGCTCCTGATAATGACATTTTCAGTTAAAATTATTGTTCCTCCAGTACTAATTTGTTGTTGCGGGATTGTCAGTTCACTAAAACCAAGGATGACACTGCCCTCCGCGTTACTTTTCAGGGAAACCTGTATTTGGGAGGGTGGAGTCACTGCTGCAAGAGATGGTTCATCACTTTCAATGGAGCCGAGTGCAGTGGTCCCATGCCTATTGACGCAGTGAAGTTTATCAGACATAGTTCGCAAAACAACCAAAGACCCGAGTTCATTGAGGGCTACTGTAACAACATACACATGGGCAAAATCCGAGTTGGAATCAACATTGGATATTGCGCCGGGTTTGGAAACTCCGATGGCTACACAGGCCGGAATTCGGTGTCCCGTTTGATCATTGAAGAAGTTCCTCGGTCCCAGTTACAAAAAAGAAAGCTCACGTGATTTTTAAGAAAAGCAAATTCTTCGGATAATAAGATAAAGTAACCACAGAGAAAACGATAACAATTTTAAGGTGTTTTTTAGATCTTCATATAAAGTAAGTCAGTTTAAGGCCATCCATTTACTGAGCACGTGAGTACTGGTGTATGAACAACCCTTTCCCGCTGAAATAAAAATCATTAACAAAAGATATTTTCCACTGGTTTTATATCGAGTGAATTTCTCAAATCTCTGTGTTGTCAATCAAATGAATATGTGTAATACAAGTTAAAAAAGTCATGTTTGGTCTTTTAAAATTTATTACCAATACCCTCTTTCAATTTTACAAGCTGCATTGGCCAAAAATATCTGATAAAAAGCTCTCGTTTTGGCGACCTTAATTTTTTTCATGTAATATCATTTTGGCACAGTGTGTCATTACAATGTCAGCACTTCGAAGTTCTTGGGAATCAGTCTCACCTACATTTAATCATTTAGTCTAGTCGGTTCAACATAGCCTGTTCCAGGCGTTCAGATCGTGGGGACAGCTCTCTTCCTTCGCGCTGCACTCCACTATCCGAACGCCAGAACAGGCTAGTTCAACAAAGTTAAACCAGCATTAACGCTTGAACCTTAAACCTTTTCCGCCACTTTTTGTTTTACAAACATAAGCTGATATACGCATTAACTCAAAAAATGCCTGACGACAAAATAAGCTTTTTTACTCGGAAGGCAAACTTAAAAGCAAATAGCTTTGGAAGGATACATTTATGGCGACATACATCATTTTGGAAATTTGGACATTTTCCAGAGTTACACACACAGAAAAAAAACATACAAATCTCCTGAAAATATTGCCGTTTACCGGAAACTCTTTCAACGCCGAAATGTTTCAGAAACCTAAGCTTCGGCTTGCCTATCATTCCGCGTGGCGTATGCTTCTCGGGTCACGTGGTCCAAGCGAGCTCTCTTGTCGTTCGTCTCGTATACGTCTTTGTCCCGAAGTGCATTGACCGAGAACGCCTGGGAGGACGCCGCCCAGGGACGAGGCGAAACTCAGACCATACACCAGTTCGCATGGAGGTCAATAAGTTGGGCTTTGACCAAGCGCATGATTCTGTAGTCCTTTCTACTCGTCCCATTTTGTTGCAGGCATCGTCGTCCTCAGAGCAGCGATCCTTTTGGCTAGCGCCACGACTCTTAATGGTATATACTTTAGGTAGGGAAATTAAAGTGTATCATGTTATTATCCCTTAATGATATCGCTGCTCTGGCGACGCCAATTGGTTAGACTGGTACTAGGCTTCTCGGTTGGAAAAAGGGCGAATAACGGGGTTAATAGCGTTAAGGGGGAGCTCGCCTCTTTCTCCGAGGTCGCCTCGTTATTCGCCCTTCTCCAACCAAGGAGCCTGGTCCCAGGCTAGAACACATTCGAGGGACGAAAAAATGATTTTGTATTAAGATCGAGTCACTGTACAGGCTTCTCTTATCAATATTTTATTCCGGAAGTTAGTTAACCTAGAAGTTTGTCCGAACCACGCCTTTTTCGCCCTGTACTCGGTTCAAAAACTGAATTCATTTCATTCTCGTCCTCCACTGTATTAAAAGTCGCAACACATCAAGTACGCTCGTATTGGAGTTTAAAACTTTTCATCTCAGCTCCGAAGTCACGTTTGCGTCCAGCGTTTTACGACTTGCAGATGGCCAGAAATCTTTTTTTGAATGCCTACTTTTCCTAGTATAAACAGCACACACCAAAGACACAAACAACATACTGAATGTTTCCTCTATCGCCAAGGTAGGTCTCCTTTGCTGTCGTATGAAGATGAAAAAGTAGCGCGAAAAATAAAGTAAATGTGCGATAAAATCGGTAAAATGACATTAAGCGCAAATTTTATAAAACTGTCCAAATGCGCATAAAAACAGTCTTTTTAACCACTGAATTTTTGCAGCAATATAAACCGAATTAACAATCTCGTCTAGAACCGATAACTAGTATAACTGTTTTCTTTGTCATGTCTTACTAAAAGTACAAAATGTGAAAAGTGTTCGGGCTTCCATCAAACCGTTCGCCAGACATGTATAACTTCGAAACAGTTTCTATGAAGTCATGTTTTGGGATAAATTCGACTCTTTCTAAGACGGGAACCTTTTGGATCGGCACTTTGTGTCCGTCTTATAGAGAGTCACCTTAAAGGAATAAAAAAAGGCAGGGACAAATCTAGATACCCGTTTTATAGAGGTGTTCGTTAAGAGTGAGGTGACTGTTCTTCCTTTTCGATTTCTTCAGTCTCGTCACCAGGCTGCACGTCGGTGTCAAAAATGGGTTACGAATGCACTGGTATGAACTTAGGGAGTTCAACTCGCCGGCTATGCGTGTCAATAGCCAACTGGTTTGGGGATTCTTACTTGTTACGTTTATTTAAATTTGTTGATAGGAGACAATTCTGTCGTTGTATCATAGGGGTCAGCGGTGTTCCGCGTGGGCCGTATTGTATGTGTAAAACGAAGATGGCTGCATGTGCTCTGAGAATAAAGTGTTGTGTTCTCGAAAGCTGTTGTTCCTTTGATGGAAGCTTCCCCAGCCGGTCAACATGGTGTCAGAAGTAGACGAACACGCGCCTAAAGTCAGGAGGTTTCGTCCATAGTACGGTCAGTTTATGTCTGAGAACGAACTGTGGGAGTTGTACGAATCGTTCCCGCCATTTTCGGATGTTATCAGGCTGGTGCCCGTATAAATTGTTTGTGTTTGCTGTTATCATGGCCACCACTCCAGTGGGTTTTCCTGTCCCTCAAATGCAAGAGGGACTAGATGAGCGAGAAGCTCTAGACTGTTTCATATTGGATTATATTGATTATTGCACGGTGATGGGATGGTTCGAGCGAAAAGACGGATGTAAATATGATGATCAAAGCGAGGATGGAAAAAAACAATGGAAGAAACAAAACCTTTGCATGTCAACACTTCGAGCAACTCTGCCTTCGAAGATGAAGAGATTGATTAATCCAAACAACAAAACGCTGGGACTATCCGAAGAAGATAAGAGTGACCCGGTGAAAGTTATTAAAGCCCTCATTAAGCGCTTTGGAGGTAGTGTCAGTGTTCAAGCTGAGCGAACGAAAATGGGACGCATGTTTCAGTCCGAAGGAGAATCCATTAGTGCGTGGGAATGTCGAGTGGTGGAGCGAGCTAGATATTGTGAATATGGGAATTTTGAAGATCAAGCATGCCGCGACCGTTTTATTGCTGGCTTGGTGGACGAAACTTTACAAGGAAAGTTGAATACTAATGGTCATCGTGACAAGGATGGTAACATTGTGGAGTTCCGTACTGTAGTTGAAATAGCAAAGAATTATGAATCCTCCACTGACGCTCGAAGGCTTATGAGGCAAGTCCGTGGAGATCAAGAGCAGGTGAATTGGACCGAAAAAGCCTCCCAGTCAAAGCAAAACAGCACTCGTTCGCAAAGCCAAAGCAATGGCAAAGAGTCGTCTAGAAAACAGTCCGAGTGTAACTACTGTGGGGCGACACCGAGTCACCCAAAGGAAAAGTGTCGTGCATTTCTTCTTAAGTATAAGTGCAGAAAATGTGGCAAAGAAGGGCATATAGCTCGGAAATGTTTGAGCAAACCTCAGAATGTGAATGCATTGGATGATTCAGTTTCTGATGATGGGCAAGAAACATATCATTTGTTTACTCTGGACACTCACTCTGTGAGATCAGTATCTGTACAGAAGGGGAAAAAGTTTTTCGCGGAAATCAAATTATCCGCAGCAAACAAATTTTTTACTTGGAAAACTTTGCAATTAGATACTGCGTCAACCACCAACACCCTTGCAGTGGAGGATCTCCGGAGCATGTGTCCAGCAGGAGTTGATATCCATGGCCTAATCAAACCCTCCTCTGCCACCCTGCGTACCTATGGAGGAGGTGTAATAAAGCCAGTGGGGCAAATAGACTTGGTCTGTGAAACTCAAGGAAAGTTTCACACTCTTCAGTTTCAGCTGTTAAATAAGGACGTCATGGGATCACAGCCACCTCTTCTAAGTGGATCTGATTGTGTTAGATTAGGCCTGGTTGAGATTAGAGGAAACACCTGCTCCTTGGATCGTAACAACCAAAAAGGGGGTGCCTCAGAAGTGTGCCAGCTTAACTCGGGACCTCTGCGAGGAAGAGTGAAGGAAAGTGGAACTCCTGATCAGGAAGTCAGGCCCGCCTCACTGAATGGTAGTGCAACAGAAGAGATTAATGTAACTGAGGAAACCACCAGCACCTCCCCAGTACAAGGTACGTGTGAGGATATTAGTGTAGTTCATCGTGCTGTCATCAGTGAAGAAAACGTTCGTCCAAAGAGGAGCATGGCTAGTGAGGTGGGTGTGTCCCATGTACCTGTCCCCTGGGGAAAACTGACTAAAGCCATTGTCATGGATGCCTTTAAGGATGTCCATACAGGGTTAGGAACTTTGGGACCGCCCCTGCACATCAGCATGAACCCTAATGTGACTCCAATCCAAGCTCATCCACATCGGTGCCCTGTAGCAAAGGAAGCAAAAGCATCTGACGCAATACGTGACCTTGAAAAACAGGGTATCCTGAAAAAGGTTACTGAGCCGACTGCATGGATCTCCAACAGCGTCTATAGAGAGAAACCCGACGGAAGCATACGTGTGTGTATTGATCCTAGCCAAACGATCAATAAAGCCATTGAAGTCCCAAAGTACCCAATTCCTACAGTTGATGAGTTACTGCCTAAGTTGAACAATGCCAAAATTTTTTCCTGCGTGGACGTGTACAAGGGGTTCACGAACATTGAGTTAGATGACAGTTCCTCATTCCTAACGACCATGCATACTCCAATTGGTCGTTACCGTTGGTTGCGTATGCCGTTCGGGGTCAGTTTAGGACCAGAGGAATACCAGCGTAGACAACATGAAGCACTGGAAGGATTTACTGGTGTTGTGAACAAGGCTGATGACATTTTGGTCTTTGGGAGTGGAGATAGTATGGAGGAGGCTGAGAAGGATCACGATATTAACTTGAGAACATAATGTTGGGGTGCCGTGAAAGTTAAACCCCAGGAAATTTCAGTTCAAAGTGAAACAAGTTACTTGGATGGGCCATCTCCTTAGCAGTAATGGCATCACCCCACATCCAGATCGAGTCCAGGCTATTAAGGACATGACCCCACCACAAGATGTGAAAAGGGTTCAGCGGTTCCTGGGCATGTGCAATTATTTGTCACGCTTCACCCCAAACCTTGCAGAAATTGTGAAGCCGCTCACTGAGCTGACACATGTGAATGCAGTGTGGTCATGGTCCTCCCAGCATGACAAAGCTTTTAAGACAGCCAAAAGCTTAATTGCAAATGCCACGACGTTGAAGTTCTTTGATGTGAACAAGCCATGTGTATTACAAGTGGACGCCAGTGACACAGGCCTTGGAGGTGCCCTGCTGCAAGATGGGCAACCTGTGGCTTTTACAAGTTCAACGCTGTCAGCAACTGAAGTCAACTATGCACCTATTGAAAAGGAATGTCTGGCCATCAAGGTAGCCTGTACAAAGTTCTACCAGTATCTTTATGGTAAACAAGATGTTATAGTACATTCTGATCACCAGCCGTTAGAAACGATTTTCAAAAAACCCCTGAGTAGAGCTCCAAGACGTCTTCAACGGATGATGCTTCAGCTACAGCCGTTCAAGTTCACAGTAGTTTACAAGAAAGGCAAGTACATGTACTTGGCCGATACACTGTCGAGAGCCGCCTTGAACCTCCCTACACCCTCAGACCCACAAGAAGAGGTGTTCCAGTGCAATTCAGAGGATGCACTAGAGATGTTCCGGGTAGAACTAGAGACCATGGAACTAGACTCCCCTGACATGTATCCTAGCACCCTGGAGGAAATTAAAGCTGAAACCGAGGCAGATCCTACCCTGTCAGTCCTATGCATGTTCGTGGCCCATGGTTGGCCCTCCGACAAATCACAGGTGCCCACAGCACTCCGTCATTACTATCCGTTAAGGGATGAGCTAGCGGTATACAATGGTGTATTGTACAAGTCACTCAAAGTCCTCATTCCCGGGAAGCTACAGTTTACTATGCTGAAAAAACTCCACCGCGGTCACCAGGGCGGTGAAAGCATGATTCGCCGGGCTCGAGAAGTAATGTACTGGCCTGGAATGCAAGCTGCAATCCTTCAAGAGAGTGCCAAATGTTCATTGTGTGCTAGCTATGGTTCAGCCCTCCCAAAGGAACCGATGTTGTCTCATGAAATTCCACAAGGTCCATGGAAATTTATCTCGCAGGACCTATTCAAGCAGGGTGGGCGTTGGTATTCTGTTACGGTGGACCACTACAGTGATTGGTTTGAGGTCGATCTTTTGAATGAAGACATCACTGCTGCCAATGTTATCTCAGTCACAAAGGCGCACTTTGCCCGTTATGGTATACCAGATACATTTTTGTCCGACAATGGACCTCAGTATACCTCTCAAGAATTTTCGAATTTTGCCAAGACCTATGGTTTCAAGTTGATTACCCGGTCACCGTATTATGCTAGAGCTACCGGTAAAGCTGAAGCTGCCGTTAAGGAAGCCAAGAAGATGTTAAAAAAGTCAGACCTCTGCACTGGTCTCTTAGACCATAGGAACACTCCGCCTCAAGGTATGTCTTACTCCCCGGCACAAAGGTTTCCCTGCCGACGAACAAAGTCTAACTTACCAACATCTGAATCATTGTTGAGCCAATCTGTGCCACCTGTAAACGTAGTCCGTGACGAGCATTTGGGTAGGCGAGCTAAAGCCAAAGCTCATTATGACAAAACTGCCAGCAGAGACTTACCCCCTCTTACGCCTGGACAGTATGTGTACACCAGGCCAAATGACCATCACCGTGGTGAACAGTGGGGTCACGGCGAAGTCTTGGGCGAAGTAACACCACGCTCGTACGTGATAAAAACGCAAGACGGGTTGGTTAGACGGAACAGGATCCACTTAAGACCTAATGAGCGTCAGGTCCCATGTGACCCACAACCCTTACCAGAACAACCAGTAATAGATAGTGGTGTGGATGTCGGAAATTCTGCGGAAACCATAGTGCCTAACCCCACTTCCGAGTTCACGAATGAGAATTCACCTCCACCAGTGCAAACCTCGCGTTATGGCCGGCCAATTAGACCACCAAAGAGACTGGACCTTTGAAACTGGAGACTAGAGTGCAGTATGGTACTCGCTGTTGACTGTTCTCTGACATTGCCTGTTCACATTTGTTAGTGTTAATGACTTATTAAGTTTTTCTTGTATTATTATTATCATTTTTCGAAACATATTAACATGTTAATAGTTTTCTTTGAAAGGGAGGATGTTGATAGGAGACAATTCTGTCGTTGTATCATAGGGGTCAGCGGTGTTCCGCGTGGGCCGTATTGTATGTGTAAAACGAAGATGGCTGCATGTGCTCTGAGAATAATGTGTTGTGTTCTCGAAAGCTGTTGTTCCTTTGATGGAAGCTTCTCCAGCCGGTCAACAATTACTCGTTTCTGTTCTTTATTTGTGGGCCCGCACAATGTACACCACTGGGTTACCAGTAATTGTGCTACACATTTAAACTGTCATTTTTCTTTCTTTTTAACTAATGAGTATGAAAGTTCTATAATCAATTAATTTCTCAAGACGAAAGAAGAAACCACGTAGAGTACGTCAACAGGCTTCAACACTTAGAAGAGTTGTTTGGCAGAATTCTTTGTAAAGTACCTTTTAATGTGCAATCTTGTTTCCAGGGCTTCTCCTTTTAGAACGAGGTTTCTTTTAACTACTAACCATACTGTCTTTAAAAACGGCACTCCACATTTCCAAAATATCACAATGAGTGTTTTTCATGTTACCAGGCTCCTCCCAAAAGCTGACCAGCATTCAATACATACACCACACATAACCCACAATCCCTTAAGTGCTGACGCTGGTAACGTCACTTGTAAATCTCTTATACGGTACTCCGCAATGTGAAAAAAAATTTATACATCTCTGTGGCACTTAGACTGCAGAACATTCCGTATTTTTGCGTATTCAAGTATGCGCGAGCAGTCAAACAAAAGGTCTGGAACGAGGCTGAAAACAGAGAGTGAGACTGGGGAGAGACGCTAACTGTTTTGCAGTCTATGTGGCCCTTGGCTGAATATATATATAATCCACAAACGTACAAAATTTGTTTTAATTTTGTCCCGTTTGGATCGGCTGCTGCCTGTAAAGTGTAAGGACCAAAAGAACAAGAGAACCGCAACAGACAATAAATTGCGAGCTGGGTTTTTTCCGCCATTAAAAAGGTTTAAATCACCCAAAAATGGCATTCAAATTCAGACAAAGTTATTTGGACTTAGACTCATCAAGAATCTTCTCCGCTTTTTTAAGAACATCGTCATCTAGCGTAAGAAACATTTCATTTCCAAGCCGTATCTTAGGTATACCTTCTCTCGTCTTAGCATTCCTTTTTTTAACACCAAGTTTGCCATAAAAGGGAAGTAATTCATCAAGGCAGCCTCCTATAACTTCCTGTGCACCTAGACCGGAAGCTACCTGAGCTGCGTACGCGCACATAGCCTTCCCCAGGCCACGACCGCGGAACTCGGGTTTCACAACGAGAGCAGATAGATTGACGTTTTGAAGTTCTCCCAGATTATGCGTGGTACGAAACTCTACTTCCTCGAAATGATCGGGTAATTTTGAGGGATCTAAACCTGCCGTTTCCATGGCTTGTTGTACAGCTGCGTGAGGCAGGCCAATTTTCAGCATTTTCAGATATCTGTTTATGTCTTTGGTACGAAACTCTACTTCCTCGAAATGATCGGGTAATTTTGAGGGATCTAAACCTGCCGTTTCCATGGCTTGTTGTACAGCTGCGTGAGGCAGGCCAATTTTCAGCATTTTCAGATATCTGTTTATGTCTTGCGGTCTGGAAGACGAAGTTTCTCGCAAGACACAGTGCGCAACAACCTGCCTGATACCGTTCTTCGACGCTAGAGCGAGTAAATGACAAGGCAGGGTGTCGCAAGATTCATTCAAGCTTGAGGTGCGCACAAAGTTAGCTTCCTCGATTCCCTCGGCGGTCACGGGAACGGGCCATTGTGACGTCACAAGAGCGGACACTTCCCCTCTGTGGTGGGGTACGTCGTGCAGCTTAAGAAATTCTACATTTGTGATATCAACCGAACAGCGGCTGCTGTACCATATCAGTGATAATGCAATGGTTACAATTCCCGCACCTATTGGAATGCTCTGCAGCAGTATAAATAGTGCACTTGCCAGTAGGGCGTACGGAAGAAAAGCCTTTACTACTCCTCGATTAGTCATTTTTACGTTGAGCAGCAGAGTGATTGGCAAACGATCACTTACTGTCTACTAATCAATGTTCATGAAGTTAAGTAACGTTGTTACCTTTGAGTAGCTTCAGCTATGACAGTTGCAGGTTCTGTTTGGAAGAAGAGGGTTTTTATGATGGGCCTTGATTAAATTTTCTTTGTCAGTCTGTACTTTTTATAAGTAACCTACAAAGAAAAAAACGAAAATAGTAATTGATAAAATGAGCAAAATCAGGCAATAGAACCCAAAAAGTTCTCCAAACCTGGATCAGCAATATTTTTTTTTAGAAAAACACTAATATACATGGTAAGGTAAGTACAACGAAGGCACTCGTTTCCTGTGAAAATACACAAATAACGCCCGCTATTTATCCCGCCACTCGAGCTACATCAGGCAAATGGGGTGGCGAATGTGGAATCACGATGAATCAAATATAGGACATCAATCGAAATATTAGCCTGAGAAGAAAAAGAATTTCCGGTTGTTGCTTCTCACTGCCGGAAGGCAAAGAATCCGAGCTGGATATCGCCACGGTGTCTGTTTTGGTTACTAATAGGGAGACTAAGCAACGACGGCGGTAGCGACCGGCGACGACAGCGACAAAAAACAATTGGTTTTTACGAGCAAAATAAGAGCTGTGAACGTGCATCACGCTTTTAGTACATTTCTTTGACATCTACTGCACCGTGAAACCTCCTTAAGCGAGGTTTTGTAGAGGACGTGAATATACGAAGAAGAATTTTCCTTTTTCTTTTCGAACCTGGATAAAGTCCTTAAGAATTCAACTCCAGGAGAAATTGCCTACCCTTGACAGACTGGCAGGGTTCAATAGACGACCTAAAGTTTGAAAGGACCCAAATTCATTTTTTTGGCGACGTTTTCACTGCCGTCGTCGTTACTTAGCTCCCTACTTTGAAGTGGAACCAGCACGTACGCTGTTTTAGGTCAATTCTGTGCTGTATTCATTACTTAGTACCTTAACCCAAACACAAAATGCTCCTGTAGAGTTATGAAGAAGATATCAAACAATTGTCATCAGGGAGCACTAGCTACAATTATGTTTTGGTGATTTTCTGCAGGCATAGTATTGTTGGCTTTCACATGACACTAAAATTCAAACTACAAAACTACGATCCTACCGAGATTTTACTTTCACGATATATTAGAGCAGCTGAAAACTAATTTTCACCCAAATTTTCGCTTCAAAAGGGTTCTTGGTTTTGTGATAGAGTACGCTTGAATTTCTAAGCTTTTGCGTGAGGAGGCATTTACATGACGGCCAGGAGAGCTGTCATGTAGATTCAAAAAATGACTTATTTCAGGGGTTTTAGCTATCTAGTAAAACATTTCATGTATTAAAAAAAGTATGCTTTAATGCTTATGAGTTCCTTGAAGAATAAATTCACGCTTTTGTAGCAAAACTCGGTAACAGATGTTTCGTTGGTTTCCATCCGCCAAGTAGGTGCTCATCCGGATGGGCACCAGCATGGCGTCTCCATACAAATTTCTATTAATTTGGATAAAACGTTTCTTCGGATATCTCGCATACGAAATATTCCTCTGACCTGAAATTTGGCGAGGGTCTTTGCGTAACATAGCCCCCTTAAATTACAAAGTTCCGCACTCACTGCTTCTTCAGACATTTTTTTCGGCCGGATTTATAATAGTCCGGTCTGCGCGATAATGTAAATTACAGGTCTTTATTTTAGTGAAGCTTTTCTTTCGATTTTGTTGAAGCACACGCTAAACACGAGCAACATTTTTAAATGATGTTGTGATTGTCTATTTTACCAACTTTGTTCAATACAGGAACCCCTTCTGGTCCAATACCCAAATCTTAAAACGACGCTGAACGTTAAATCCGAAAATAATTTGTATTTACTAACACTCTNTGATAGACTGTACGCTTGAATTACTAAGCTTTTGCATGAGGCGGCATTTACATGACTGCCAGGAGAGCTGTCATGTAGGTTTAAAAAACGACTTATTTCAGGGGATTGAGCTATCTAGTAAAACAGTTCATGTATTAAAAAAAGTATTACTTTAATGTTTATGAGTTCCTTGAAGAATAAATTCACGCTTTTGTAGCAAAACTCGGTAACAGATGTTTCGTTGGTTTCCATCCGCCAAGTTGGTGCTCATCCGGATGGGCACCAGCATGGCGTCTCCATACAAATCTCTATAAATTTGGATAAAACGTTTCTTCGGATATCTCGCATACGAAAAATTCCTCTGACCTGAAATTTGGCGAGGGTCTTTGCATATTTACCTCATTTCATTTCCCCAGATTCTGGACTTTATCTATTGAACGGTTTTGATTTTTATTTTGATCTATTTTGTATGGCGTGACACTGAAAACCAGCAAGTAAAACTTGAAAACATTGGCCCAACTTTCACAAGTTTCAATCCATGTCCATCCTTGCCATTCGTAGCAACAGACGACAGGAAGCAGTTTCAATGACCATTATTAATGGAATTCAACTGATGCAAGAAAACATTAAGCTTTTTAAAAAGATAGCAAATAGCGTAACATAGCCCCCTTAAATTACAAAGTTCCGCACTCACTGCTTCTTCAGACATTTTTTTCGGCCGGATTTATAATAGTTCGATCTGCGCGATAATGTAAATTACAGGTCTTTATTTTAGTGAAGCTTTTCTTTCGATTTTGTTGAAGCACACGCTAAACACGAGCAACATTTTAAATGATGTTGTGATTGTCTATTTTACCAACTTTGTTCAATACAGGAACCCCTTCTGGTCCAATACCCAAATCTTAAAACGACGCTGAACGTTAAATCCGAAAATAATTTGTATTTACTAACACTCTTGTCTTGATTTTTTAACCGACTTGAAGACGAAATTTCACTCAAAAACAAATTTTTTTCGGATAAAATTGAATTTACTTGAACTGGTTCACTATCCCGTGGAAAATTATCAGGGAAAACAATTGCGCTATTTAGTGGATAGAATTTCATCAGGTGGATGGGGTTATCCACCATTTAAACCACTGGGGCCAGACGGTCAGTCCAGTCAATCTCTTTATCTTCATAGCCTGTTCCAGGCTCTCAGGTAGTAGGGATGACGTGTAAGTGAAAGGCACTCGAAAATATGAGCGCGTGATCAGGGAAAAGAGGGCGAAGGCGGGAAAATGGAAGGCAGCCGCCGCCCTTCCTCTCCCTAGTTTCCCCCCCTTTTTTTTCGTCTTCGCGATTTTCAATTTCTGCAATTTCATGGACCCGACTACCTCGGAGCCTGGAATAAGCTATTATCTTCATGGCCAGACGTTAAAAGGTTAATCTCCGGGGCCAGTTACATAAAATCTAACGTCGGACGTAACTATTTCCTCGAGTAACGAAAAATTACAGATTTGGACAATTCTTGAACAACGCTTCGATGCTGTGTCGGGTGGGAAAGTATTCGTGAGTCACAAAATTTTTGCGGGACTGTTTTTGGAGGGTGTTGACAATTTTTATTACGACAGTGAATGGTTTTTCTTGCAAGGAATGAGTTTTAGCGATTTTCAGAAAGTTTTTATTTATTAACCAGGCACTATTTTTGTTAGTTTTTTCAAGTTGTTGTGAATTTTTTGTAGAGAATACCGGTATCTACAGTACAGCAATTTTTCGCGGACATTTTGAACTTTTTGCTGGAACTCTTCAGGTTGGATCGCGGAAAAACAAAAAAACAACAACAACAAAACGGAAAAATTAGAACCGGCGAGAGGGACCTTTACTTAATCCGGGCGGCTGAGTTGTCGACTACGTGCTAGTATTCGAAAATGCCTAAATGCTTTAAAAATAGTGTACTATGATTAGAATACGTGGTCATTCAAATCAGAGGTCACCAGGCTGCTGCTGTACTGGGCCTGGGATCTATCAAATCGGGGCACGTGAGAGGGGAGGTAAAAGGGGACCTATCACTCCGGCCTAAAACCACCAAACCCCCCTCCCCCCCTCCCCTTCAAGGCTAGCTCTATAACAAATAGAATTAATAACAACAGTATAAAGGCTGCCCTTTATAGTCTCTTGCTCATAACTAATATACACAAGAAGTATATGTCGCGGATTCACAATATACCAAGGTCAGCTTACACAACACCGAATAGATATCACCGAACAGGTTTTTCCGTGCAGTCCTTGGTCCTAAGAAATGCACAAAGACTAACTTTTCATGTTACCTTGCGAACAAAGGTCTTCGATCTTCCTAGATAAGTAGAGAATAGGAAGGAACGTTCGACTTATCTAGCAAGACCGAAGGGCCTCTGCTTGCAGGGTATTTTCATGCTGACCGAGAACTGTCTTTTTGAAACGTCACACTCTTCGTTCAACTGAGTCGTTTTTGTTTTGTTAGGCAAAGTGTAGATAAAGTACTTCACTCAGTATTGCAATTTCACGCCCCCAACTGTACTGAAAATGATTATAATACTGACGGATGATATATCCGGACAAAACATCTTTTGCACGAACCCCAATAGGTCGAATATCAAAATCTAAATAGAGTTGACTGAAATAGAAGTTGTACTTCTAAAGTCCCAACTTTTTATAACTTTCTTTTCTCTTGTTTCTCTGTACGTACTTATGCTAAGAATTGTTATTATAGCGTGATTAACAACTGCTAGATTACTTGACATTCACAATATTTTCAATGTTAGCGGCGCTTAGTTTGATGATGTTTCAGTAGAACCAGGTAGAACCGAACTCTGGAGTGCCTGCCACTAGTCTCTTATCCAGCCTGGAAAGCACAAACATTTTAATTGCATTTAGCATTTGACATAATTCATAGCATCGAAGCTAGTGCACATGGTAATTTTTCGAAATTTTCCACTATTGATGAAGCCCGGGGTAGGCAATCGCACGTTCGGTAATCGAACTCAACCGGTGAAGCCAGACGCAAAATTTTACTTCTGAAAACTTCATCTTCATTAGGCCACGGTGTTTCAGCCTCAGCCTCTCATTCTCGAAAGAGGGACCGCAATCTCCTTGGGAGTACTC